GTGTTCAGTCCTGTTTTGATTACTTGCTCATTTGATAAATCCTATTGATCAAAGGATTGATTGATAAAATAGGCGGGCGGGTTGGCGGCTGATAGATAGGAAACGAGATAGATAGATAGAAAGGTAGATAGATAGATAGCTGAGGAGTTGGTAGGGACAAAATGAATGAATGGATAGATGAATGGGTAGATGGGCGAATCGATGTATTGTGGTCACAAGGGTGATTGGGAGATTGGCACGGTACAACAGTAACAGACACCAATAAAAAAGGATTGATCCTATATTACCGACGGGTATGAGATGGATATCATCCTCATGAACTAGCCGATATAGAAGCTCATTTAATTAAAAAAATAAAATGCCCAAAACTTCTATATCATTTTGCTATGTTTTGTTCTTTTATTCTTTATCTTCATGTGAACAAGACGATTTTCAAGCGGTTTTTGTCGTTAAACTTATTGGCGAAATGTGGAATAACATTCTTCTTACGAAAGATTCACGAACAAATATGCTTGTCGACAAAATTACCAGCAATGTAAGTGTTGATCTGTAAATTGAAGTGCCCCCCCACCCTCGCCTCACCCACATCTCAATATGATTTTTCCATGAAGTGAATAGTTGAATGGTAAAATATCTTAACATCTCCAGAATGGGTGTAAGATTATGGAATCAAATCCCAGATCATATAAGGAAATTATTAAAAAATAGCTTTAAAAAAGAAATTAGGTCATTACTGTTTAAGAGTCTAGATTTAGTTGGTTATTATGTTGAAATTCCAATGATGTTTAATTCATAATTCTTGATACGACTTCTACTTCCGTTTGTGTTTATGTCTCACATTTCATTTTATCCAATTGTCGTTTATATATATATTATAAACTATAAATGTGTATCGATATTCATTATAAATAACGCTTAATCATATCTATTAATTGTAAATATTATTTTCCTTTTTTGGTCTTTATTTGCACCATAATATTGTAATTATTATAATTATTATAATTATTGATGTTTTTCTTTCCTTTTAACCTGCCTAGAATAGCTTTAAGCTACTTGCAGGTAAAAGTGTAAATATTAATGTATTAATTTAAAACAATAAAATGTCAAATGTCAAACATGATTTGACTGATGTGTCTTGGAGATATCGAGGTTTATACTTGTAATATGCTAATTTGAAAATTGAAACACTGATTACCACGAGAAAGCAAATTTGCAATGATTTTTCTATCAAACCTGCCGAGGAAGACAATGACGTTTTATACAGAATATTTTACTTCCCAAGAAAAAATTTGCATATTTAATAATGCCTCCTATGACATCACATTCCATAACATATTAAAACTAATAAACCTTCGATATCTTCAAGATGCATGCATCACTCAAATCACATCAACAAATTTTACCATTCAACTATTCACTTCATGTAGAATCAATAGTGAAAATTGTGATACAGGTGAGTTATTTTAAAGTGTTTTATTGGATCAAAGATTGAACTTGAACGTACAAATTTGCCAAGCGCAAGCACATTGTCTTTAACCAGCTGTATTTAGTGAATGATCCATCTTTTTGAAGAACACTTTTCACCAGCATAAGTGTTTCTATAAAACGCGGCCTGTTTTCTTTCCCGTTTTCATATAAAGCACGTCGAAAAACACATACCAAGACGTCTGTATATGGCTTCCCTAAGAATATTTAGACCGTTGGAAATTTGATTGACGGAAGCCAAAATCCCAGAAGTCATAAATTACGAATAGTTTTCTGGTTTGCTCAATTAAAAAAATAGGTACAATACTTTTTCTTTTATAATCAAAGAAAATTACGTACAATGAACTGGAGTTCTACATTGTTTGACTATTAGGTGAAGGTGTTTTACAATGGCGACAATAGTTTCAGAGAAGTAACTGTTCACTCCTTCAGGTAAAAATGTTCAACAAAATATTGGCATACGCTAAAGCATTGGTACATATGGTTTATAGGTAATATAGCTAAGTTGGGATACTTCTTTCTTTCTTTCCTTCTTTCTTTCTTTCTTTCTTTCTTACTTTCTTTCTTTCTTTCTTTCTTACTTACTTACTTACTTACTTACTTACTTACTTACTTACTTACTTACTTACTTACTTACTTACTTACTTACTTACTTATTTGATATTCATTTATATATCCATGCGTCCATGCGTCCATGCGTCCATGCGTCCATGCGTCCATGCGTCCATGCGTCCATGCGTCCATGCGTCCATGCGTCCATGCGTCCATGC